TAACAACTAAAACTTGCATAGAGACTTTCTAGACCCCGAGGATAATTAATCAACAACCCTGGGCCAGTGCTCCTCATGAGTATTGGTCCAAACCGGGCGATGTCTAGTGCCCCCCGGGCAACCAGGGTCTTAGCCAACCCGACGTCTTGCCCATCCGGTGTGCCCTGAGGACGAGATACGTGCGGCTCATATCGGGATTTGTCGGCACATCAGGAAGTCCTTGCTGGTTTTGTTTTACCATTGTCAAAATGTCTTGTGCACCGGGATCCCGAGTTTGATCGGGTTGTTCCGAGATGGAGGATTGTCTCCACGGATCGTGAAAGCTTATCATAGGCTAAGTTGGGACACCCCTGTAGGGTTTAATCTTTTCAAGAGTCGTGCCCGTGGTTATGTGGCAGATGTGAATTTTTAATATCCGGATGTAGAGAACTTGACACCAGATCCGAAGTAAAATACACCAACCATGTGTGTAACCGTGATCGTCTCTTTTCTAGTGAGTTCGAGAAGAGAACACGGTGGGGTTATGTTTGACTTTTAAGTAGTTCAGGATCACTTATTGATAATTACTAGTTTGTGACCGTTAGGCGTAGTCTCTCATCTTATTCTTGTACTCGTAAGTTAGCTACCATACAAATGCTTAGTACTGTTGCAACCTCACCACTTATCCATTCCATACCCATTAAGCTTTGCTAGTCTTGATAACTATGGTAATAGGATTGCTGAGTCCTCGTGGCTCACAGATTACTACAACAACAGGTGCAGGTACAAATAATGTGATGATCTGACGCGAGAGTGATGCTTGCTTGTTTTGGAGTTCTTCTTCCTCTTCTTCTTTGATCAAAGGATAGGTTCCGGGACGGGAGCCTAGGATTTGCAGGGTGGATGTCATTCTTCTTTTCGTTTGATTTAATCCGTAGTTGGATCCTGCCCTTCTGTATGATCATTGCTATGTATTGATGACATGTTGTATTGATGTTGTAGCTTGTGGCAAGTGTAAGCCTTTATCTTGTATTCTCATCTATTCAATACATGGTATGTTGTAATGATATCCACCTTGCTATGCGCTCGAAATGCGATTGTGCCCCAATCATGAATTCATCACATGATCGGGATAGAATCTCATCTTGGGCACTAAAGCTGGTATCAGAGCCTTACCGATCGCAGGAGCCCCCTTGATTGATCAAACTGTTGTTGTTGTCGCATCAAAAAAATAATCTATTTTGGGTCTAGTTATATTGGAGTAGGAATTCTTTTACTCCTCATCCCCTTCGTCGCTCTGGTGAGGAATCATGACGTAGATGTTTTTGTTTCCACTACTCTCCTTTTTCACTCAACTTTTTTAGGATCACGCGAGTATTGTGGAACCGGTCCGATATTATTGTGACGGGAATTCTGTCTTGGTGCCTCCTGACATTTAAGGGTTGTGGCAGTGTCCCGGGGAGTTGAGCTCCAAGGTGTTTTCGTCACTGTGCTTATTGTTTCAGTTCCGGAATACTAGAGGACGCCGACATTGAAAACGCTTCTATACTCTTTGTGGTGAGAGTAGTTTGATGCCACCTAGTACTGAGGAGAGCGATCAGATGTATTGCCACAGCTAGTATATCAGATGTTTTTCGAAGGTCTGAGGTACACGATTTTCGAGGTTTTCTTGGTTATGTGTTGATGGATGGATACAGTTGGAGTGTAGGATTTTTTAGTTGTGTGAGATATTTGTGCCTCCCTGTATCCCCAACACCAGATCGCATAACCAGAAAGTTTCGAGAGTTCTTAGGTGGGAATTCAAGTAGTTACCTAGAATATATTTACGATAGATGCACGATATGGGATTTGGTAAATCTCTATCATATGTATTTATTTCCGCCTTATTTCCCAAGCCAAATCCATTGTTTTGTTTTGAGTTGTGGTATTCGAGTTGCTTTGAAGTCAAGTGTTGATTCCATACCTTTCCTAAGTGGTGTTCTCATATTTCTATGTGAATGCTAATCCTTCTAGATCATTGAGATTGTCATGTCAATCCTTTTCAACCGGCGTGCTTCTCTTCAAGTGGATCTGATCATTCCAACATTCGCAAGATCAATTCTAAGTTTTTTCAATGGTGTTTGTTCCATCCGTCCCAAGTTATCTTTATTTTTTCACCCTCCCACCCTTCTTCAAGATGTCAAAATTCTCAAATAATGTACCCTTTCATTCGTGTGAAGTCTGTTCATTCTTTTCCTTCAGTGTTCTTACCTAGTGATTCTCATGAAGATGTTAAGGAAGCTTTAAGTTTATCATTCTTCATTCTCTTTTCTTCTCCGATGGACTAAATTCAAGCTTCGGTGTTGATTATATCTCTTCCTTTCATTTCACATGTTTTCCCATGTTGAAATTTCTTATCCAAGGCTCTCTTATTTGTTCATCTCTCTCTATTCATATCCGGAGTGTTGAAGATATCTCAGAAGATGTTTCCACTCTTAATACGTTCAAGCTATTTCGTGGTTGTTACCTCATTCAAGCCATTTAATTCAACTGGTGCAATCTCTCTTTAAAAAATTGTTCAACGATGTTTCTTTTGAGTGGGACCATAACCCACAGGTCTTTTCCAGGATCTTACCTGACTCTTCTAATTTCTTTTTGGAGTTACTCTCAAATTCTTTTCAAAAGTGTGACGTAAGAATGGATTCCATCAGTCATATGTCTTCTCCAAGATCACTTCCAAATTATTTTCTTTGTTGGTTCAACCTTTCTATTCTTCATTCCGGAGTGCCTCAACAATTCATGGCGGTGTTTCTCATTGTCATTCTCGGATTTTGAAGAAAGAAGAAGAGTTCCTCTTAAATCCTTACATGTTCTTCCCAACATGTGTAGTTCAAGCTTGATGCCATCATCTCATAACTGTTTTCGATTGTCAGAATTCTTTTCACACATCCGACGCATTTCAGGAGTTGCTTTCCTTTCTCGGTCATCTGAAGGCCATCATTTCTGAATATTACTCATTCTCAGCTTTCGTTCTCCAAATCTTACCGGTGCATTGTTCAAGTATTCGAGTCAGCTCGTGATTTCTTCGTTCTCTTGTATCCAAATTCCCTCAAGTATCTTAGTTCATTTTCAGTCATACTCCACGTGGACAAGCACATGTATCCCTTCACGAAGATAGACACTACCGACCAAACTAGATAAGGGCTAGCATTAAATTTCAATAATATATTCTCAATAATGCGAGGGTGTTATGAGTAGAACACCCCATAATTTCAGAAAACGCTTTACGTGTCAAAATAGAAAACCAAGCGTCATATATGCGTTTAACAAGTGTCCCTGCGTACTCCACGTGGAAAAGCGCATATATCCCTTCACAAAGATAGACACCACCGACCAAACTAGATAAGGGCTAGCATTAAACTTCAACAATCCTTTCCAATTAATGAAGGAGCGTTTTGAGTAAAACACTGGGAAATTTCAGAAGACCGCTTTACGTGTCAAAATAGAGCATCGAGTCATATTTTCGTGCGACAAGTGTCATTGCGTCCTCCACGTGGACACGTACATATATCCCTTCACGAAGAAAGACACCACCGACCAAACTAGATAAGGTATGGCGTTAAATCTGAACAATATTTTCCTATTAATGCAAGGGCATTACAAGTACAACACCGCGTAATTTCAGAAACCCCCCTTACGTGTTAAAATAGAAAACCGAGTGCCAAATTTTTGTGCGGCATGTGTCCCAATTGTACTCCACGTGGACAAGTACATGTATCCCTTCATGTAGAACGACAACACGGAGTACACCGACCAAACCAGATAAGTGTTTGCATTAAAGTCCAACAATCTTTTCCCATTGAAAGCGAGAGCGTTGCGAGTAAAACCGTGCGAAATTCCGGAAGGCGGCATTACATTACATGTTAAAATACAAAACCTAGTGCCATATTTTAGTGCAGACCGAGTCCACCTCTCTTGAATTCCATCCAGATACATAGATACATAGCCAGGCGACCAAAAAAAGGAAGAGAAATACAAGCGTTAAATTTCAACACCGACCAAACTAGATAAGGGCTAGTGTTAAATTTCAACAATCTTTCCCATTAATGTGATATTGTTTCGAGTAAAACACTGCTTTGTTTTTTAAAACCGCTTTATGTGCCAAGCGTCATATTTTCGTGCGACAAGTGTTGTTGCGTACTTCACATGGACATGCACATCTATCCCTTCACGAAGATAGACACTACCGACCAAACTGGATAATGGTTGGCGACTTGGCGTTAAATCTCTCCAATCTTTTCTCAGTAATGCGAGGGCGTTACGAGTAAAACACTGCGTAATTTCAGAAAACCGCTTTACGTGTCAGAATAGAAAACCGAGCGCTATATTTTCGTGCGGTAAGTGTCCCAATGTGTACTCCACGTGGACAACTACATGTATCCCTTCACGTAGAACGATACCCACCGAGTACCGACCAAAGCAGATAAGTGTTTGCGTTAAAGTCCAACAATCTTTTCCCATTAAAAGCGAGAGCGTTGCAAGTAAAACCCTGCATAATTCCGGAAGGCGGCATTACATAACATCACATGTTAAAATACAAAACCTAGTGCCATAGTATAGTTTAGTGCAGACCGAGTCCGCCTCTCTTGAATCCCATCCAGATACATACTTAGATACAGAAGGGAAATATAGTACCTTCCTCGTCTGGTCAGACTTGACACGCTTGGAGCAACAATGATTGGCAAATCGCGCACGCCATAAACGCGCTGTCACCCCGCGCATCCGCCGTCCGTTACACCGTGCGCGGATCTCGGCGCGCCCCCGCCGCCTTCTCCTTCCTTTCGCAGCGCCCGGCTGGAATCCCCCTCCCCGAATCCCACCCTATAAAACCCTCGCCGTCGTCCCCCCCAATCCCCCAAATCCAACTCCGACCACAGCAAAGAAGATCGATCGATCGATCTCGGAGCCTGGTTGAATCCACCCACCGCCACTCGATCCAATCACATACAGCGAGGAAAGATTAAACCGCCGCCGCCGCCGCGATGAAGTTGCAGACGGAGGCCGCCGCCGCCGCCGGGGGGGAGGGGAGGCTGATGATCCGGCAGGTGTGGGCGAACAACGTGGAGTCGGAGTTCCAGGCGATCCGGCAGGTGGCGGAGCGGTTCCCGTACGTGTCCATGGACACGGAGTTCCCGGGCGTGATCCACTGCCCAAGCAAGCACCACGCGACGCTGACCCCGTCGGAGCGGTACGCGGCGCTCAAGGCGAACGTGGACGCGCTCCACCTGATCCAGGTGGGCCTGGCGTTCGCGGCGTCGCCCGACGCGGCACCGGCGGTGGCGTTCGAGATCAACCTGCGGGAGTTCGACCCGCGCGTGCACCGCCACAACCCCAGCTCGGTGGCCCTGCTGGCGGGCCACGGGCTGGACTTCGCGAAGCAGCGGAGGGAGGGCGTGGACGCGCGCGTGTTCGCGGCGCTGCTCATGTCGTCGGGGCTGGTGTGCTCCGGGGCCAGCGCGCCGACGTGGGTGACGTTCCACTCGGCCTACGACTTCGGGTACCTGGTGAAGCTGCTCATGGGGCGCAAGCTGCCGCGCACGCTGACCGAGTTCCTGGGCCTGGTGCGCGTCTTCTTCGGCGACGAGGTGTACGACGCGCGGCACGTCATGGACAGCTGCGCCGGGCTCTACGGCGGGCTGGACGCCCTGGCGGCGCAGCTGGGCGTGAAGCGCGCGGCGGGGATGTCCCACCAGGCCGGGTCGGACGCCGCGCTCACCTGGGACGTGTTCCGCCGCATCCGGGAGGTCTACTTCGCCGGCAACAGCAGGCAGGGCCAGGGCCAGGGCGTGGGCAACTTCGCCGGCGTGCTCTACGGGCTGGACCTGGAGCTCCACCTCGCCGCGCCCGCCGACAACGGCAACGGCAACGGCAACAGGAACAACAACAAGAACAAGTGCGGCAGCGGCAACGGCGCCGGCGGGCGGGGCAACAACAGGCGGGCCGTGGCGGCGCTGAGATGAACCGACCCGACCCGACCCGACCCGACCGATGATTAGTTGTAGAGCGGTTAACCTTGCGTTAATTGCTTATATGATCGGCGATCCGAGCCGATAGCTTAGCTCCTTCCTTTTCGTTGTGCGTGTCTGTACATAGAGCTAGCGGTTTAATCCGTGATGGTCTGATGGGCAATAACAACATGTCTTCATTCGTTGGTTGATTAACAATTCCGTGTTTTCCATTCATAATATAATCGTCGGACATTTGGTTTATGGCGATGGATCGTCGTCGGCGTCGGCCCAAGCAGAGGAGAAAACTCTGGTTCGCGTCGCCGGCGTTGGATTCGAAATGGGCGCCCACACACACTTGGGACTTCCTTGCACTGTGGTCCGGCCGCGTGCGTGGACCTGCCGTTTGACCGGCACACACTCTGACGTGGAAAAAGAAGTCGCGAGAGGGAGGGATGGTGGTTGGGTTTGAACGCGCGGCTTGGGGTAAAGGGGAAAGGGGAAAGAAGAAGGTATGCAGGGGGAGAAGTATATCAGCAGCAGCAGGCAGAATTCCACTCTGACGACAAAACAAGCGCGTCTGAACTGGACACACAAAGTTGCAGGCCGACGACTCCACACACTGCCTTTTTCCTTGGTCAACACACTACGTTTCGAGCTCAGCGCCAGGCTGATCAGATTTCTTTCTTCCAGTGAATATGCAAAGTTTGCGTATCTTTTCTATTGATAGAATAATAGAGTACAAGACGCGAATATGCAAAATTTGCGTATCTTTTTATCATTGATAGATAGAAGAATAAAGAATGATTACAAGTAATGGTAGTAGTACTACCTTCGTCCGGGTTTTTAGGTCCCCTCAGTGCCGCATGCTAGTACCACATTTACAGGGCTGCTCCCTCAGGCGCCATGCAAAAAGTGAAGATGCTACGTCTTCCCAAAGCGCAATCAATTCAAAGCCGCTGGCGTACAACTTGCATGAAGCGCGACCAGCACGCCGCGGCTACCCACGCGACCGAAGATGGGGCTTCGCCGCCGCCGGCCGTCAGACTGGCTTGCTGGCTCTGGACCGCGCCGGCGAGAGGATGCGCTGCATGCAGTAGTAACTGCGGGAAGCTTGTTGGCCGTCGCTCTGCCACAATATCTGCTGCTGCTGCCTTGGTCCATGCGTTTCGGTCGGGGGGACTTAAAAACCCGGACGGAGGTAGTACAACACATGCACGAACACAAGATGGCATCAACATGGTGTCCAGAGTAGAGAGGCGCGGGTTGTTCAACCCGAACAAGCACACAACACAACTAAATTCCCTAACATGAGAAGCAATCTGAACCAAAATGAAGTCCTACATCTGCAAGTTCACCACCGTGAACTCTGCGAGCAAAAAAGATGACGCCTTCAAGAAGGATAACGACGCTATGGCGCCGTCGCCATCCGATCCAAAGAATCAGACCTAGAGTTACCCCTGGCGCTCGAAGAGGGGCACATAGAGGCCATAGCAACACCTTCGAGAAGGGGGTGGCGCTAGTTAGTGTCACCGTTACCAGCACTGGCAAGCCGACCAGGGATTTCTCCCTGGCCTAGGTCTGAGATATCCCGTCATAGCCACGGATCGGAAACTGGGAGTCAAAAGTCAAGTGTAGGTCAAAGCCCAGCACACTAAGGAGATTCACATCGGACACGCGAGCCTTGGACATAGCGGAAGGCGGGGCAGCAAGGTAGTCATGGTTGGCATGACGGGAGCCGCTGCAGGGGACACGACGGCGGCCGGAGACGCCGGCAAGGCGGGAACTAGAGGGGACACAACTCTGAACCGTCGGGGACAAGTCCCTCAGTGACCGGCAAGCCATAGAGGCAACAGGAGACGCGGTCTCTAGAGCGTCGGGGGCGGCGCAACGCCGGAAGAGACAGAAACAACCAAGGACACCGCAAAGCACAGGTCCAGGACCCGACAATGGTGCCACCGTAAAGGCACAAATGCCCGCCGATCACCAGACCGACGCGCCACAATAGATGGTCGCCGCTGGGAAGGCACCACCGGAGACACATCAAAAGCCACAACCTTTGAGCCATGGCTATGGATCGGGGGAAATAATGGATGCCGCCGCTGTGCCACCAAGAGTGGGCAAACTGGTCGAGGAGCTCTGCAACCAACCACTCGGGATCTAGCACATGCAGGAGCAAGTGACGCCGGCGAGTGGAAGGACTTCGATGGGATCCTGTCCTCAGATCTAACGCCGGGGCTTGGGGGAGGAAGGGCCTCACTGGCAGGCGCATGCAGCACTGGTGGCCAAATGAAGTGTGTGGGGGTGGAAATGTGTTACTTGTGAAGTTGTGATAGGCGTTGGGATTTCCCCGAAAAGAAAGGGTGATGTAGTATAGTAGCAAAACGTATTACTCTCAGTTAAGAACCAAGGTTTATCGAACCAATAGAAGACTCACGCAAACAAAGATAAATGGTACCTGCACGGACACACACACACGTGCGCGCGCACACACACACACAAACAAAATACTTGCATCCAACGCAGGCAAAGAGGGTTGTCAATCCCCTTGCACTCATTAATTGTAAAGATTAATTCTGGTAATGGTAGATACATAAATTGCAAAACAAAATAAAAGGTAAATAATTGCAGCAAGGTATTTAGGGTTTTAGTAATATGAAGTGAATGGACCCGGGGGCCATATCGCTAGAGGCATCTCTCTCATGAGCGTAGTGATGATGGATATGATTACTGTTGGACAATTAATAGAAAAGCGCATAGTTATGATGTTATTCATAGCATGATCAGTACATTTGCAATTGATAGAAAAAGCGCATAATTATGATGCTATTCACAGCATGGTCAGTATGTAGGCAATTGGTAGAAAAGCACATAGTTATGATATCGTTACTCATAGCATGATCAGTAAGCGTCGGGTGGGAGTTGTGGCCAGGCATATCCAGTGCCTTGCGGGCTGGTGACCGAATGCCGCCGCTCCCGTGGCATGTTAAGCGCATATCCGCGCAGACTGATGGGCCAGGAGGAAATAGTGGAGTGTGTGCAGTGCCCGACGCGGGATGGTTGCGGTAGTGCAAGGGCGACCGCGGATGGGCTTGTTCTGCCCTATTTTTGGCCCTGCTGGGTGCGGATGGGACGGAAGACTTAGACCTTCCAGTGGTGGCCGCGGGAAGGTGGTGGCAAACCGTGCACGCAGATGGTGCGCTGGCTCTGGAGAGCGCGATTAGGCGAGGATCAATAGGTGGCAGGACCCAATCTGGGTTCTTGACAACCTGCAGTGGGAGGTCCTTGCTGAGTGCCTTGTCCGGGCCGCAAGGGAGAGATGTGCACGGTTCTCACGTGTCGTGGAGGTGGTAGGCCGGATAGGGTTGGCCTGGTGATGGGGTTGTGCGAGTGACGCTGTCGGCGAAAGACGTACGCTGGTGTGGTCAGTGTCGTCGATGGCGGGACCTACAAGCACCGTCCTTGTTGGAGGCATTGGTGTTGCAACCCGCCCTCCCTACCCAACATGCTTCATGGGAACCCTATATTCGGTCTTCAAGATCGGACGGACGATGACAACACTAGTGACTTTGCTCGACGTCATTTCTCCTCTTGAGGACTTGGTCTAGGAGTTGGACTCGACCAGAGGGACTCGGGGCTAACCGCAAGAAACCGCCTCATCATTAAGCAATGACCAATAATACTCCTCACTAATTTAGCACTCTCTAAAGTGCTCATTAGTACTAGAGTATAACAAGCATTGCGCACAATTATATGCAGAATTGGAGTAGTCAAATTATTGTTCCGTCGACCACACGTATGCCGACAGCATCTGTTGGTTGAGAAAAGCAGCTTGCCGAATCAAAGGGTTTCACTCATCAGCCTTTCTGAAGTGTTTTTCCGGGATTATGGAACACGACGGACGCATGCATGCATGATTGAGCACGAGGAGTCAATAAACAAAACCAGAAGAAACCCACTCTGATTTGATCGTTGATTAAACCGGGTATACAATTTAACACCACTATCGTTGCAGACTACTTGTGCGCACGTCAACGACCTAATTCCATCGAATGTCGAAGAAAATTACTCCCTCTGTAAACTAATATAAAAGCGTTTAAAATACTAAAGTAGTGATCTAACGCTTTTATTTTAGTTTATGGAGGGAGTACCTGTCAAATCGGCGAGCAGCCGGTCGTCTCGCCTGTCATGTCTCCTTGCTGCTCCTCGGACACTCGACCCCCAAAACAAGTTTCTCCTGTCGCATCCCAGTAGCACTACCCATGCACAAGATTCGGTAGCTAGCTCCAGTTCACCTCTTTTTTTTTGTCGACACATTATTCCAATTTGCAGATCGATCAATCGTTTTAGTAATTACTAAATGAGAGACAAACCCAGTTTTGTTCCTTGTTGAGTTGTGCTTTTTATAAACATGGTATAAACGCAGACGAGACACATACAGACATACACTCATCCATATATACCCACACACATACTATCCCTATGAGTTCTTTGACCGCACCCACCCGACCTGGGGGGGTCAATTTCGGCAACGGGCAGGGCCCGCGCGCCTTCGCCGCCGTGCTCTATAGGCTGGTGCTCGCTACGCCCGCTGACAACGGTAGCAGGAACTAGGAAGAACAAGTGCGGCGCCGCCAACGGCATCGGCATCGGCACCGGCGGCCAAGGCAACAACAGGCGGGCCGTGGCGGTGCTGAGATGAACCGGACTGGACCGGACCGGACCGGACCGAACCGATGATTAGTAGCCCGTGCGGTTAACCTTGCGTTAATTGCTGATCCTCCCTCCGATAGCTTAGCTTAGCTCCTGTCAGTATATGTTCTTTCGTTGGTTGATGATTAATTCCGATTGTCTCCACCGTCAATCATCCTTCACAATCGTCGGATTCGGTTTGGAGAATTGGGGAATGGCGATCGATTGTTGGCGGCGTCAGTCATACAACTGCGGTGATCCTTCTTTTTAAAAAATAAATAAATACAGTCTGGTGCAGAGGTTAGGGGTGATCCTTCTTTTTA